GGACATCAAATAAGCCAACTAACTTTTTTCTGCCTAATTATTACTTGCCAACTGTGACAAGTAATACCTAGGCAGAAAAAAGTTAAGTAAAGGCAACAAGCTCAGTGAGATAACTTATTCTGAAAAAACATCCCTAGTTGAACATGAGGGGAGACACATGAAAACAACCATATCCACAACAAAAAGACTTGCACATTGAGAAAAATTAAAAATGGAAAATTGGCAAGCATTGGTACTAATTTGCACAAATCAAGGGGTCCTAGTTGCACAAAAGCACGAGAATAACACATAAACCACCATAGCCACCATAACGCTGGTGGATTGGGTAGATTATATTGAAAAACTGACAAGTATTGATGCTAAAATTGCACAAACAAGAGTCACTAGTTACACACAGCAGAGGGGAAAACAACCAACTCATGCACAAAATGAGTTAGAAGAAGCGCAAAATGAAGTACAGAACCAACTAGTACATGGATGCAGCCAACTAATCAGGCAACTTGTGCAACTGAACAACGCGTAGACAGACAACCTAGCACAAAATAGCAAGCAAACTAAGCAGGGCAACTAGTGTCCATTGTAAAACACATGGACAAACAACTTGACCACGAAAGAAGAGCAACTTGTGCAACACAAAAACAGTATATATATACAGCCAATTAATATATGGATGCATCCATCTAATTGTGCAAATGAACAACATATAGACGGTCGACCTAGTGCAAAACAGCAAACCAACTAAGCGGGACAAACTAGTGCAGGTGTAGAACATATGGACAGCCAACTAGTAAAAGTGATGTAGCCAACTGAGCAGGCAACTTGTGCAACTGAACAGTATGTAGACACCCAACTAGCAAAAAATTGGTGCAACTGCAGAACATAGGGACAGCCAACTACTATATGAATGAAGCCAACTGGATAGAATTTTGTGCAACTGGAACACAAGTGTCTACCAACTAAAAAGTGGCCGTGATACAAGTTTCACCCTCTTAGTTGGTTTGCATAGGTAATGGTCCCTAATTTGCACAGGTACTAATTTGCACATGTAATGGTCCCTAGTTAGAAACAAGAGGAGAAAAACACATGACCCACGAGAACCACCATAAGGCTGGCAGATTGGCTATATTATCTCAAAAATTGTCTACTACTGCTCCTAATTTGCACGCAAGGGGCGACAGAGTTGCACACTGCGGGGGAAAAACACTCATCAAAACACCAGATCCACCGCGAGGCTTCAATCCACAGAAGAGGCTCTATCGCCGCGAACCACTCATCCTCCCTGAACCATATGCACGAGCTCACCCCCTACTGCAACGCAAAAACGACGGGATGAGCACAACCCTAACCCACCCCTGCCAATCCGGCGGTTTCCCAAACGAAGTAGTCCGCTGGGGTGACCTCAACCTCACCGGAAAATGAGTTCGACCTCCCTAACCCCAACCGTGACCTCGACCTCTACCTCGAGCTCCCTGACAACGACCGCGACCTCACCGGAAAACGAGCGACCTGATCAGAAAAAGGAGGACGGGCGAGTGGAGAAACAAGCAGGGACGGAGACGAGGAGCGCGCGTAGGAGCAGTACCTGAGCCGCCGCGGACGACTACCCTCGCGGCGCGCCCCGCCGTCGACCACAACCCGGCGAATTTGGAACCGCCTCCGAGCACCAACCAACGGCGAAAGCAAAGGGGGAAAGTGGAGGAATGGGCGGCGAGAGGTGGGGGTGGACGGGGTAATGGCACGAAATTCGAAACCGCCGCCCACTACGCACGACGGCTAAAACGCTGGAGAACTGCCTAATCCTCGATGACATGTGGGTCCCACGGACGATTTATCTCGCGGGCGCGGCGCAATCGGACGAGGCGACTGGTCCACACGCGGGTCTGAGCGGCGCGACCCCACCTCCCGACGAGGGGACACCTGGACACCGTGCGGCGTCGATCGGGACGAGATCGAGCGGCTCTCGTTCGGCCGCTCGTTCTGTCTATTTAGTGGCCGGCCGCTTTTTAGATTTCAGGTTTTTTCTATAGGAGAAAACCAGACACCTGATGAGCCCCGGTCAACGCTATTTTTCAAGCAGGACACCCCGGTCATCGATCTAACCCTTCCGGCACTGACTGGACTGGAGACTCGCGGAGACGGAGCCGGAGGCAAGGCCCCCGGCAGCCAGACGACTCCACCGCCGGCGAGCGTTAGGATAGCAGGGAGATTGCCTCGTCTCGTCTCCGGCCAAGCCCGCCCCCGCTCCACCCCGCCCCAGCCCTCTCGCCCCGGTGCGGCGACCGGCGGCAGGGCCTCTCTGCCCGGCCAAATCACCCCTGTGCCCACGTGGCCGCCGCGAAGTAGACTCCCTGCCGGCAGCGACGACGAGGTAAAGGCAGCCAACCTCCCTTACATTACATGTATCCATGCCCCTTTTGTGTTGTCCGTAGGACGCGGGTGACAATATGAACTTGCTGAATCTGAACCACATTAGGAGCTTGATTCGTTCTCCGTAATGTATCCGCGAGCTCGACCTTAATCAAGCGTCCACCAAACCGTTGCCATCTCGATCTGTTGGCTTTGACTGATTTAGTGATTTACGGTCCTTTCTTTGATCAGCCTGAGAGTGTTCGCCATTTTCCGTCAGGTGTGGGCTCAATGGCCCATAGTATATTTCAGAAAAAGTGTAGTACTAATAAACTCATATTTCTTGTCAAGTGTGGCAGGTTCTTGGTGCTGGAATGAGAAGACATGGAGAAGAATATATGCTGGTAATATAGCTGTTCCATTGGATTGATGGATGTTCTGTAACTGTAAGTAATTACTCTTAGCTCTCTGTATGTATATAGCTCAGCTTGCTGCTAGTGATTAGGTACTGTACTGCTCAGGCTTATCTGAATATATAGCCCTATTACTTACTAGTGGGCGTCTCAAAAACCTTTGTAAGCTTCCGTGACTGACCCTCATGATCAGAATACAACACTGCATGGTCTGTATGGGCAAATGCCTAATTATAAAAATGGCCATCCATACCATTTCGATAGTTTCAGAAATCCTAATTCTTCTCCCTTGTCAAAAACAAAAGGAGAGGCACATAATCATGAAGACAAAGCGCCAAAGCCGTAGGGAACCTTGAAAAGCAGAATATTGTAGCTGGAGTTCTTGGTTGCAGTGGGCCAGTCAAGACTATTGAAGTGATCAGATGTGTATTCCATGAACATTGAACTGATTAGATATTCAAACAGGCACATTGCTTTCAGATAATACATCATGTTGTAAAATAATTGAGCTTCGACAACCACCGCAAGAAAACTAACATTGACTTGACTTACGGGTTCTCTGGGTGCTTCTTGATGGCTCATGGCTTCAACAATAAGACTAGCATGATGCCCCATTCTCACCAACCCATGGCACTATTTTGATGATTTCAGATTCTGAAGCGCGCAAGGAGGCCACCACAGGTCCAAATCTGGTCAGATCTACAGTTATTACAAACCAGGTGCAATTCTGATGATATTATCTCCTTCAATTTGGTTCTGTTCCTATTACTCCTGTATATCCTAAGCTAGGTCGAGGAAGTATTAACCCGTTTTCCTTGCCATTAAATGCTAGGTAGGCGGTTGTTCCCTGGTTTAGTGGGTAAAGATAACAAGGGAACACCTGAAGTTGAAATCACATCCAACTACTTGTCACCAACAGCAAGCTAGCATTCTCAGTCATACACATGACTCCATGAGAGTTCACGATCTGCACAATTAAGCTTCAGTGACAACAAGACCACCCAAGCCATGAGGTCTCTTTTACCTCCGAAATCCATGAGACTATTCTGATTGTTTCAGATTCATAAATGCACAAGGAGGTCACCAAGCTCGATCGGATCTATGCCATCAGGCAGGTGTGTCGCCCTTCCATAGTTCTCTGGCTATCTTAGGTTGTACTCAGGTCGAGCTTCTTCATTTGTACGGCTTCAAGGTCTGGTGAGCTGGCAGTGTTCAGGTTTTAGCTGCTATTCATTGTTTCCAGTGGTGGAGCCAGCTCACTGACCGAGCATGGGCAGGGTCACCGCTGGCCGGTGTTTGCCCAGCAAAACATCATTGCTAACCCATATATTGATGCTAATGCTTAACGGACTCTCCGGTAGAGCCCAGGCAGCTGCCTGGGGTCCCCGTGAGCTGCTCCATCCCCGATTGTTTCCCTTGGATTAACAAAATGTCTTGAATCGATCTGCAGTGCAGTTGTTGATAATGCTTTGTACTGGTGATACACCTAGCACACGATGAGCATATGCTCTTGAATTCTAGATACAGTGCACATGACAGCTCCTTTTAATTGAAGTCGTTTTAGTTCAGTAATATTATAGTGATTTCCCCTAATGAGTAATTACTCCTCTAGTCCTCTTTGCTTCCTGATTTATTTCTTGACTGTGATACATTTTCTTGTGGCTTATTCAACAACTCTAGCTATTTGTTTCTCCATACATCTGGAGATACTATAAGATATATGTTGAGAAAAATATGGAACTAAGTTACTCGGAGCTGTCTGCTATGTCAGATAGGCTCCCTTTTCGTCTCACTTGTTTAAATCTTTAATGTTTGGGGCATTTTAACCTGAGATGTCCCCTACACGGAAGCAGAGCATACATGGTCACTTAGTTGGTTGAGTGTCACTTACTCTTGTTAGTTAATAACATCTAGTTTGCCATTGACGATAGCACAGTCTTAAGTGTTTTGAAATTCCCACGGACCTGCCTGTTGTCAGTTATGTTTTTTGATTGATTATGTGGGTTAGCGTTAGATAGGTTAACTGTATGAAATAAGAGTTTAGGAGGATTATACTTTGAAAGGCTGTGCTTATTTCACTTGTCCATTGTGGTTGGAGAGTTTTGAAGTGTTTCAGCAAGTGCGTGCTACTAATTAATGCATCACTTACTTCATTTTGCAGTGGTCATTCTAATAACACTGAGGCAAATATACAACTAGCCCCCCACCCAACAGTGAGACATTAAGAATTCTCAGAAAGTAATGGCGGAGATTGTGATTCTTCTAGCCATTAAAAAGATTGGAACCGCCTTGGCAAATGGAGCGGCAGACCAGGCCAGCACGTTGTTTGCAAAGTACAGGAAGCAAATACTAGAGCTACAGGGCAGCATGGGTCGTGTTGTGAGGGAGCTTCGAGTAATGCATGATGTTCTTTTTCAAATGGACATCCGAAACCGCAACAATCAAGTATACGAGGGCTGGTTGGAGGAGGTACGGAAAGTAGCACATGTGATGGAGGACATGGTGGATGAGTACTTGTATCTTGTTGGTCACGAACATGATACGGGGTGTTGCTTTTACCTGAAGAAAGGGTTTACAAAACCAAGATATCTGGTTTCTTTGAACCGGATTGCTTTCAAGGTGAAGGAAATAGAGAAAGACCTAGCACACTTGTCAGAGACAAAAAACCGTTGGGTTCACATGATAAACAATGGGGATGCTAGCAGCTCAAGTTACATTGTCAAGAGGTCCAAAGATCTAGCAAACATTTCACGCTCCCTTGATGAAGAAGATCTAGTCGGTGTGGATAAAAACAGAGATAAACTTGAGCAGTGGTTGTTAAGTGATGATTTGGAACGCTCTGTGATAGCACTGCTTGGAATGGGAGGGCTTGGTAAAACATCTTTAGCTGCAAATGTCTACAGGAAGCATAGAGAGAAATTCCAGTGCCATGCTTGGGTCTCCATCTCTCAAACTTATTCTACAGAACATGTCTTGAGGAATATAATCAAGGAAATTTCCCGAGATAAAGTCAGTGTGCTATCTAACACTGCGGCCATGGACATCACATGCCTTGAAGAGACACTGAGGAAATTTCTAGAGCAACAGAAGTATTTGATCATATTGGACGATGTTTGGACTCCAGAAGCATTTGATGACTTGTCTAGGGTGCTTATTAATAATAGAAAGGGCAGCAGACTGATGATCACAACAAGGGAAGGCGATGTTGCTGCACTTGCCTCTCAAGGACATACTTTAACACTGAAACCTTTACCAGAAGATAAGGCATGGGATCTCTTTTGTAGAAAAGCCTTCCCAAGAGATACAAATCATGAATGTCCTGCGGAGTTGAATCCTTTGTCTGAGCAAATAGTTAGCAAGTGCAAAGGCTTGCCTCTTGTTATTGTGTTAGTTGGTAGCCTCTTGCGTGTGCGTGAGAAAACTGTGGAAGAATGGAGAAGAATACATGCCCAATTAAGTTGGGAGCTAATCAACAATTCAAGACTCGATCACATAAGGAATGTTTTGCATCTGAGCTTCATCTACCTTCCAACACACTTAAAATGCTGTTTCTTGCATTGCAGCTTATTTTCAGAAGACTATTCTTTCAAAAGGAAACAACTTATACGGTTATGGACAGCAGAGGGGTTCATTGAAGAGAGGGGTGAAAGCACATTAGAAGAAGTGGCAGAAGGCTATCTGAAGGAGTTAATTGACAGAAACATGCTAGAACTTGTCAAGAGAAACTCATTTGGTAGGATGAAAGAATTCAAAATGCACGATATCTTACGTGAATTGGCACTTGACTTGTGCCAGAAGAACTGTTTTGGTGTTACATATGAGGATAAGCGTGGGGGGTCTTTTGAGAGAAATGGACGTCGATTGGTATTGCACAAACAGAAGAAGGATATTCAACAGTCATTTTCTAGTGTACGCCGACTTCGAACATTCGTTATGCTGGAAGATAGTATGGTAACATTTACTCTACTACCTATGCTATGTAAGGAGTCAAGATATATGACAGTGCTAGAATTAAGTGGTCTACCCATTGATAATATTCCAGATGCTATTGGAGATCTTTTTAATCTCCGCCATTTGGGTTTGCGTGATTCAAAAGTGAAGATGCTCCCGAGTTCTGTTGAGAAGCTTTCAAATTTGTTGACACTGGACCTTTTTAGATCTGACGTACATGAGCTGCCTAGTGGGATTGTGAAACTGAAGAAGCTTAGGCACTTATTTGTTGAGAAAAGAATTAATACAGATTTGAGAGGGATTAAATGTTTCAGTGGTGTGCATGTCCCCAATGGTCTTGGAAATCTAACAAACCTGCAAACGTTACAAGCATTGGTAGCACATGATGGGTCTATTAGACATTTACGGCAGCTGAGGCAACTGAGAAGCTTGAGGTTATTGGATGTGAAGGGAAGCTATTGTGGACGTATCAGCGAGTCTCTAGTTCAGATGCAGTGTTTGTCCCATCTTGATGTGAATGCAAGTGATGAGAATGAGGTTCTCTCGTTGAATGTCCCCCTGCCAAACCTGCAAAGGCTACGTTTGGGTGGACAACTGGCGGAAGGGGCGTTGGATGAGTCTCCTCTCTTCCAAGCTGCTGGGGGGCAGAACTTGCATGTTTTGAATCTATATTGGTCACAACTGAGAGAAGACCCCCTGCCATCCCTTTCACGGCTGTCAAATTTGACGCATCTAGAATTCACCAGAGCATACAACGGAGAGCAGCTAGCATTTCTCACGGGGTGGTTTCCCAAGCTAAAGATTCTCTATCTGATAGACCTGCCTAATCTGAATTGGCTAGAGATACAGCAAGGCGCCATGGCGAGCCTGGAAAGATTATACCTTGTCAACCTCAGCAGCATGATGGAGGTCCCACCTGGCATTGAGTTCCTCATGCCCCTCCAGTTTCTAGGCTTCTTTGAAATCACCAGTGACTTCTTTTGGTTGCTGGATCAATGTTCTGTAGTTGGAGGGACACAGTGGCGGTATACTCTCCGAGATTGACCTGCCATACTGTACTGGTTGGGAAATGTGTACGCACGCAGAGGTATGGCCACTCACCTGCTAATGAGTACCACTACTTGCTTCCTTTCTCGTCTCAATTCATAATACTTTGACATGTTGATGTGATAAGATGTTGGTTATACAGGTCACCGGCTGGAAGAAAGATGCTTTGCAGATCAAGGAAAAGGGACGATCTGATTCCAGTGTTAGTATATGTTCGTGCCGCTGCTGAATATTCATACCGTCCGGGTTTCCTTGCTTGCTGAATATGCGTACTGTCCGGGTTTCTTCTGCTTGCTGAACATGCATACTGTCCGGGTTTCCTCTGCTTGCTGAACATGCATACTGTCTGGGTTTCCTCTGCTTTTTCAAGACGCACTATATATACTGCGCACCATTTTCTGTTTGTGCCACCTCCAGTAGGGTGTTGTTACTGAGCAGATTTTCGGTTGTTACTGCCTGTGTTTGCTACTCTCCTACTGTTCCTGTCATTGTGTGCATTTGCTTGTCAAGTGTGATAATATTTCCTACGATTTGTGGTTTTTATAAGACTGAAAGTGAGTGTGTTTTCGTATTCAAGCTACTTTTTCGCATTACTTCTTTGAACTGTGTGCTGCTAATTTTGTGTGCGCTTGTTGTGAACCTATTTCAGCTGTGGCTGTTAAATAAAAGATTTGATTTGTGATTCATACTCAATGGTCAGGTATTCATTTCTATCTGCACGTCTGTTTTATTGCTAGGCTTGCTCTGTTCCATGTATCTATTTTGGACATTTGTGAGTGCTGTTTATTTCTGGGCTTACGGTCCTTATTTTCTTCAGCGATACACTGATGCGATGTTTTGAAAGGCTGCTACAGCATGTTTATGTATGTCCTTAAGTTTTTAAAATATTCAAAAGCACACGGAGGAGGCAATTAATGAGGCCATGTAACAAGCAGTTTCCAGGGATTGACGAACTCAAGTAACAATCTGTGACCAAAATACTTTCTAGGAGTAGATGATATATGGAGAGTCGCAGTAGAAGCAAAACCAAAATACTTTCTAGATAACTTGCCAGGGAATTAATTCAGAAAACTCGCAAACCCTTCCCCAAAGGAAATATATATGCAGACTTCCGACATGAGATATATTAGGTGTAAGCTGAATGTGCATGTCCAGGCATGTGTATCACAAAGCTGAGTTACAGCCTTGAAACATAATTACTATTTACTCAGGACGGTAAGCTTTGACAACTAGAGCAGCACATACTTAGCATTTAACTGTGTTTACTGGCACATAATTTGCTCTTGCACCACCATGGGTATTATACATTGTGGTTGTCTAGCCTAGTTAGTGGATGCAGCAGAATTTCCCAGCGGCCTATGAAGGTGCATTTTATCACACAAATGGCAAGCAAGGACTGTCAACAAAATCGCCATTTATTTGCAGAAGTCGATTGCAGGTGGGCGCAGGGCCACTCCTCCCAACTTTTCGCTGGAATACTTCTCGTACACCACCTTCAACTTGCTCTCAGGGGCAGCCGAGTGTGCGGTCACCAGGATCTTTACACTATCCCTGAAACCGTCAAAAGAAATGTGAGTACCTCTGAAATCATGTCAGAAACCCACGAGGATTATTCAAGCTACAGGTGCATGCTTACCTTAGCTGGGATTCAGTATAGCCAGTATGGTGCTTAAGAGTCTCAGTCCACAGAGGCGTCTTCTTGAGTGTGAGCCTGGCTGCATAGACAGCAGCGGCAGCAACCATGGAGGGCTTCAACGGCACCAGCGCATATTGCAGCAGCGCCAGTTCAGCAAAAAAGAACACCATGTTCTCCATCTGCATGCATTCATACATAGAGAGAAACTTCAGCACACAAACTCGCCGCTTTACGGCGCAAATTACATCTGAATGTACATATGGTGTGTATGTATTCCTTACCTCCTCATCGTTCTTCGGATGCGAGGAGGACGCGGCCCTGGCAAAGCGCGAGAGGAACACGTAATGTGTAGGGACTGACAGGTTCCATTCAAGCGTGTTCAGAATGGCCATCTCCGCCCCCAGTATCTGCTCCCTGGTGTAGACGTCGTTTAATATGTGGACGAAAACCTCCACCTGTGCAAGTGTACAATTAAACAACAATCAGAACGCGGACTCGTACGCCGCAAAGGGAATAAAGGGGAGAAGTTTTCATTCAGTCTACTACCTCTGGATCCCAGGCGTCCTCCTCCTCGTACTTGCAGGCGATCAGCAGGGCCGAGGCGCATACCATCTGCAGCTCGCTTCGAAGCACGGGCCGCTGCATCGAGAGGTACCGGTCGATGATGTACACCGCGAGGTAGAGGGTCTCCGGCATGAGCTCGAGCTTTTCATGCACTCTTATTATCCAGTCGACGAGGGCGCCCCGCTTCCTCGAGTCGATGTCCACCTGGGAGTCCATGTAGTCGCAGGGCCGGCACTCATTCTGCAACAGGAGATGAAAGATCGACTCCGGATTCAGAGACAAGCAACAGATCACAAGGTTTTCGCACACGCTGCGTAAGAGTTAGTTATGCGGTTACCTCGGCAACTTTGTAGAAGTTGTAGATATCCTCAATGTAATCCACGACGCCTAGCTGATCGTCGAGGTCAAGCTCATCGATGTCTTGAATCACTTGTAGATGATCGTTGGTTGTTCCAGCTGCGAACTGGCAACGCAACGGTGGATCAGAGACTCATTGCACAGATTTATGATACATTGTTTTTGAAAAGGAGATTAATGAAACATATAATGACTTGTTTATAAAAAAGCTTACAGGAAATAATTACTAGAGGAATTTAAATATATAAGGGAAAACTCTCTCCTAGAGCTGTTTGGGTCAAACCACCCGTGGTTCCTATACAAACCCAGAAAGAGAGGAGACGCGACTATCAGAAACAACAGTTCAAAGCATCCGAAGCAAAGCTTAATTTCTGCCCACGAGAAGCAGCATCAGATGGAGGTTTATGGTACTAGGATGTAAGAAGCCGTCGCAACGAAGTATTTTGTGACAGATGACGAACCTTAGGGCGTGGTGAGGGCATAGAGGCGAGCGAGGGTGTTGATCGCCCTCTTCTTCCTCGCGTACACTTCCGGACGCCGGAGCTGACGCGGCCCTCCGACTGCTGCCTCCCGCTAGCGCCGGAGCTGACGCAGGTCTCTTGCGGCGGGATTCCGCAGCAAGGCGACCTCGTGTACACTTCCGGAGGCCGGAGCTGACGCGGCCCTCCGACTGCTGCTTCCCGCTAGCGCCGGAGCTGACGCAGCCACGCAGGTCTCTTGCGGCGGGATTCCGCAGCAAAGCGACGCCCTCCTCCGATTAGCACGAAGCCAGGTTAATGCTTCAACTTCCTCCGAGTCCTGGCTCGCGCTCACGTAGGAGGCGGGGCTGATGGCTGGTCTCGATGACGGAGTCTTACATGAGCTCTCCTCGCCGTAGGTCTGTCGGAGCCGGATTCCGCAGGAAAGCGACGTTCCGATTAGCACGCGGCCGTCTTAACGCTCCAACTTTTACCGTCAGTTGATAAAGGGTAAATTCGTCGTATGAATATTCCACATGTAGCAATTTTTACCGGCTTTGCCGTGGAAAAGAATTTTTTTCCCAATGAATTTGATTTCATATTCTTTTTTTAGATGGATTTCATATTTTTTAGATGGATTTCATATGGCTATTATGAAAAAAATACATTTTGCATCTATACAAAGCCATCAACAATAATCAAGACAAATATTAATAATATTTCCTCGTATTAGTAACCCACGACTTAATTACTAGCATGCATGTAGTGGATGATAATAACACACTCACCTACTTCCTCTCCCACGGCCACTCAGTTTTCTCTAATGTGCATGCATTCTATTAATTAACCCGATAAATGAGAAAACAAATTGGCTTCTAAAGCACACATTAATTTTTACTTTGGTACTTGTAATCTTTTTTTAGATGGATTTCATAAAAATGAAGGGAGTATATCAAGATCAAGATATATAGTTGCACGATTGACTTCCATTATTTCTTCCACAAGTCGGGAAACTCAAGGTACGATTCATTCATTAAAAATTGTTAGTATATGTTTTTTGCTGGTGATATTTTTTTGAACACACTACAGATGCAATCGCTTATATATACGTGCATATACTCACCCATATAAGACTAGCCACAATGGAGAGTAACATACACTAGTAACATACACATATCCCTAGGCTATGTTACTACCTTCATAGTGGGTAGTAACTTAAGTGTGGTAACATGCAAAGATTCATTTATTAGGTTATAGACTCATATTGCATTGGGATATGTGATATTACAGTAACTAGCTAAGTTACTACAACTACCTCTCTCCTCATTAACTCATTGCCACATAAGCAAATTTGCTGAGTTGGACTCGATGTTACTGCTAAAGTTACTCTCACTGTGGCTAGTCTAAACGCACACGCGCACATCCAATCCCTATGAGTCATCTTATGATTTTATGGAGTCACCATAGACGCGCCTCGTAATCGAGGGGAACGTCTCCTCCCACTGAGCGTGCATCGCCGAAAATCCTGAAATAAATTCAATATAAATGTGATCTTCAAGATTTGAACCCTAATGGACTGGGATACCGCTATCCACCTATAACCATCCAACCACAAGTTGGTTCGTTTTTGCGGGTGATATTAAAAACCGTTATAACGCGCCTGTAAGAAAAGGCATCCTGGCCGAACTAGCAACTCATAAGAGAGGTGAGGATTTAGAGCTCTCGGGTGCTCCACCCCCTATATGAATATTATAAATAGAAAACCCCAGGGAAATTAAAAAATGCCAGAAATTTTGGGATATCAATCTTGGGTGCCCAATCCACTCCCATGTGAAGTTTCGTGAAAAATGACGCCCGCGTATTCCCAGTAAAAAGGTTAAAAAAATCTTTGTATAGAGAAAACTATCTGGATGGATCGTACGTCGGATTGCATTTTCTTTGCCAGAGATATCACGTATGCCATTTCTTAAGAAACTAAACAC